CACAGACAACCTGCTGCTGACCACAGCAGAAACCCCCGACAGCATACGACATTGTATGGGGCTCATAATAAATTAATTCTGATTCTGTTACCTGTTGTAAATGCATTTATCAATATCCAAGTTAAAGTGCTTTCTTCTTTTTCCCATTATAAAGACACTGTGCTGTAGCCCACAGCTCCACGTGAGCCACTGCTGCTCTCCTAACAGTCCTCTGAAGGATTGAATACTTTCCTGCAATTTCCAAGGGCTTGGGTTTTTCCCCATACACATAGACGCACACTAAGCCAAGATGGGAAGCAGAAAATATTTGAATATGTCTGTTACGAACACAGTTTTATTTTACAAAACTATTTAATACAGCTTAACCAGAGACCGACAGTTGATGAGCTGAGAGACAGAAAAATCCTGATTCGATTCAGCGATTACGTGGAAGTGGCCAAAGCGCAGGACTACGACCGGCGCGCGGACAAGCCCTGGACACGGCTCTCGGCAGCAGACAAGGTACTGCTGAGAGGGAGACAACGTGCTACTGCTTCCTGCTTGCTTTGTCTGTAACCACACAGCAGGTCCTGCAGAGACATTTGACCTCTGGGACGTTAATCTCTGTAAATGTTACTGTTACTTTTTATGCTGAAACCCCACTGACCAGTGCCTGCTCCGCTCTGCGGGGCCGGTACTTTACAACACTTAGAAATACAGAAGCATTTGTTAACCTTCTCTTTTCACTTCCAGGCAGCAATTCGGAAAGAGCTGAATGAGTACAAGAGTAATGAAATGGAGGTACACGCATCCAGCAAACATTTGACAAGGTCAGTTTTCCAGCTCTTTATTTCCATTCCCCACTAAAACCAGTTTGCTTCAGTCCTGACCCCGGGAATTTTGCTCTGATGTGCTGAATGGGGGAGATTATACAAAGGAAGATTGATTTTAAAAGAAAATGGAAGTATTTATCTTCCTGTTCAGAACCTGGGGTGATTTTTGGGGGTGGTTGGTTTTTTTTGCTTTGATTAGGATGTACTGAGAAGCCCCCAAACCTTCTCCACAACATCCCTCACTTCCTTACACCAAAAAGTCAAAAGCTATCACAAAAAATTAGAAGTAGTGGCTGGGCCAGTGTGAACCCAGTGAGGCCGCTGGTTGCTCCGTGGGCCAGCGCCGAGGGCAGGTACCAGCTTGAAACATGCATGAAAATATTCATTTCCCTCTCCTGAGGGGGGGAAAAAAATGTGAGAGAGGCCGTTTCCACAGCCATTGTTACTCCCAAAAAGGCCTTGTTAATTAGAGAGAAATGGAAAGAGGGATCAGTTGTAAGGAAAACCAAAACCAACCCACACCCAGTATCTGCATTTGCGCTCCCAGTAACTGAACTGGTGAGACTGGGCCATGAGGACTGTAACTGCACTGTGTACGTGTGGAGAGGTGCTGGTGAAAATTAAGGCTCACAGTCGCTAACATTCCTCAATACTGTTACTGTGCCTTTCAGCACAATTAATAGGGGTTTTTTTAAATAATTTTTTTTGTTAATGTAATTTTTTAAAAATTATACGTATTTTTTTAAATTTCAAAATGGTTTGAAAATGTCTATTTCTCCTAGATTTCACAGGCCATAGAAATTTTCTTCTGAGAAGAATCTGTCTTTACTTTTTGATATTGCTGCTGGACACACGTTGGGGAAGAGGAGCCTTCCCCTCAGCTCAGCGCGGGACACCCCGATCTCCAGGGGAGAGGACCCTGCGAGGGGACCCCGGCACCCACCCACAGGAGCCACCAGAGCCCTTCCTCGCTCTGCAGCCAGCGGGGTGATGGCCTGGGAGCAGGAGCAGCTGCTGAGGGACTGAAGGAAAAGCCACTTAAAGCACCTACCGCTCTGCTGGGCACGGCCTGGACTGCTCCGCTCTCCGGGGACGAGGGGCCGCTGTGCATGTACAGGCTTTCCCATCCCAAGGCCTCTGACATACGGACAGGACACACTGTCACTCAGTATTCTGTTGACAAGACATTTGGAACTTACCACGATTAGTTTGTAAAACACTTACGTTCATGTTCTAAAAACTAATTTAATGTATTATAATTTCATTCTTTTTTATATAATGTCTAACAGAATCACAGCTGCGAGCATTTTTGATTCCTGTTACTTTTGTTCTTTAATTAAATGACTACTTATTGCAGGAAATGAACATGTTTCCTGAAGCTCTTTTTTTCCCCAGGATCAGTAGGGAAGAGATCACAATCATTAAGCATGGGATCGTATCGTTTCTTTATCGACAGGGTGCTCAAAAGGATGATCTTTGGTAAGGTTTCCATCTCCTGGAATAGTGGGGTTTTGGCCCAGATCCTCCCCAGCACAACGGGATGGAGGTTCTGGCAGTGAAGTTCCCTCTCACTCTCATTCAAAAACGACTGAATTGGGCAAACGAGCGGTGACAAGGTAGAGTGTACCTGATGGGTACAACAAGGGATTCTAAAGCTTCCTGTCAGGAAGAGGAAAAAGGTTACTGAATGCTAATAACAAAAAAATATATAAAAATGTAAAGCCAGGAGTTCTAATAATGCTCAACATCTAGAAGCATCTCAGAATTCTTCTCAAATTTACTACTGAAAGGAAAAGACTCAGGAGAAAAAAAAAAAAACAACTAGGAAACAAGCCAGTAGGGTGATAGCTGGAAAGCATTCCTGACCAGCCAGCCACAAACCAGCACAAACACTCACAAGACAAGAATTTCTCTGCAAGAGTCCAAAACACTCTCCTCTCAGGAAGCCACTCAGTGCTACAAATTAGAAAAAGGTTCTCTGGCTCTCATGGCTTCGCTGAGATGATCTCTGTGAAGCGTGACACCACCAAACAAAACAAGGTACGTAGAGCTGTTTGTGCAGACTGCACTGAGTGGCTGCAGGGTGGGAGTGCCATCGATGCAGAGGACACACAACTTCCCTTCTCTTCTGCTGCCGAGGGTGGGGATGGACTCACACACACACACAGAGCTGCTCTTGACACACTCCCACCAGGGAGTGGGAGGTGAGAGCACACACCCCAGGGAGCCCCGGGAGAGGCGGTGGAGCTCCCACTCAGCTCAAACACCAAGGAGTTGTTGGACAAAGTGACCTCCAGCTGAAGACTTGAATTACCCAAGTACCTGATCCAAAGATTATTTTCTTTCTATTTATTGCAATTTTCTATCTTGCTGGCTTTTCACAGAAATATGTAACATTATAACTTGCCTTTTAACATACTGTTAATTTATTCAGCCATCATTTTATTATTAATGAAATACTCTTAATTCTAAACAACAATAAGATGATAGTCCAGGTGTAGTACACCAAAAGGGTGAAAAGAAAGGAGAGAAGTTCCTCCAGCAGAACCACTTTTAGTTGCAGAGCAGTAGATGACCCCTGTTAACTGCAAACCTGGCTACTAACCCGTGGGTTTAGCAGTGACACATACTTTCACTGGTAATAAAATATTGCATAAAACACATTAAAATGATGCTGAAAAATACAACGAAACAGGAAAACATTCTAGGGGTAACTTGGAGCAGCTTTTTAAATGTCAAACAATGCCCCTGAGCTGTGTTACTGACACGACTCCACCACCATGTCGTTACACAGCAACACGCTTTGCTTCTTCCCTGTTTCTCCACCGTCCTCCCCCCGCAGCGTCCCCACCTCCTCCGGCTCTGTCTGCCCAGAGCCAGGCCCCTGTCACTGGCCGAGGGCCACCGGTGGTCACTGTCAGCTGGCCCCCACCAGCGACCGCTGGGCACCTCCCTCAGCCCCTGGGGAGGCTGGATGCACTGGGCTGGAGTGAGCTCTGTTACTGGTGGAACTGGGCACGTTCAGTGCATGGAGGCTAAAAAAGGGAAAAACCAGAACAACCCCCCCAGCCCCCCGCAGTCTCCCTGTGCCTCCCTCCCAACCGAGACCGGACCCGCCGGCAGGGCTGAGCCCTCACTGGGGCAGGGAAAGGACCCAGGGGTGACCAGGACAATCTCACACTTGTGCTTCATCCCCAGGCCCCACTAAAACCACCAGTTGTGTTATTTTTCCAATACACAACCCCTGTAAGAATGGGGTTTGGGCCTTGCAGAGCACTTCTTAAAACCTTGTACAATTAAGAGAACAATGCTGGTTCATACACAGCCAATATTCAATTCACCAGTGAAGAAGTTCAGCATCTCGTGAGGTCCATCTAGCGGGGAGGACAGCGAGCACAGCTCAAAAGGAGGAAAAAAAAGCAAACAAATATCAGAGGCTCAGAAAAATGAGAAAAGCATGAAGTACTGATGGAGACGGGATGAGTGGACCAAAGTATTTACCGGCAGTTTCAGTATAAGAATTTCCAGAGACAACATAACCTTCTGATTTTAAAATTAATTAATAAGAAATATATTTCACTTACCACTATTTCTGCTTACAGTAACCCATTTCCCATCACTGAAGTTTAAGAGCAATTACTCTGCATTGTTCCTCCCCGTGCACATGGGACAATCTCACAGTCCCACCCCCGGGAGCCAAACTCAGCCCTTCCTGTGGCTCCGAGCTCAGGCTGCAGCCCCCGGGGGCTTTCCTGCTTTAGGCATTTAGAGACAGCATTGGTAGAAAGATTCAGAAGCAATTCAGAAAGCCACAGATTTTCCCATTTTCTTTTAGGACCTCTGTCAAAGAGTTTCCTCGCTTAACATTACCTTAAAACTCAATTTTAAATCAATTTTTCTCTCTGAAAATAAACATTAGGGACCGGTTCCTTGTATCAGTGAGTAGCTGTGTTTGTGAGCTCCAGAGCAGAGCCCTTCCTTTTCTGCTCTTACAGGAAATACTGTAAATAGTAAGTAAAATAGTAATAACATCGTTTTGTAAAAGGAAAAAAAAACCAGGCAGACAATATATGTTTTTCTTGAAATATTTAATACAGCTATTTGCAATGCAGTTCAACCACAAATGCTTACAGTTTAGGTTTCTCTCAGAACTCCTGTTGAAGTCTAACACCACAGCCGGGGGGCTGAGGTCAAACCAGGCAACCTGACCCCTGAGGCATCACTGAGGGGGCTCTGATCAGACCAAAGGGGGACTCTGTACACACAGACCCAAAACAAAGTCATTTATCTGGAAGTCACCTAAATAACCTACAAAAATTGCTGAAGACTTCTTAAAAAATAGCACGTGCTAAAAACTAAAAACATTTACATAATGCATTTTAGCAGATTCAGTAAAATAATTCCAAATCTCACATATAAAGAAGACTTATCCACAAAGATTGCAATATTATTAAGGAAAATACGCTTTGGTTACAGTAGTTTCCTTGAGTGTTAAAAAGCAAACAAAAAAAAGTGGTCAAATTTTACATTATAAGAGAATGTTTATATTCACCTTGAATTTCAGGAAGGTATTTGAACATATTACTTCAGAATTGTGTCTTCTGATTGAAACAACGTCTGCAACCCTCTGCGAACATTACACAGCTCCTCTTCTTGCTGTGCAAAAACCACCACATTTGTCACATACTTTAAATAAAAATCTTTAACAGTTTATAAGTATTGTAATTCTGATGCATAGCATATGCTGCCTTTAACATATCAAATATTATTCTTTCCACATCAACATTCAACATCCCAAGACACAGCACTAAAGCAGTACATCCCTATCTGCCCTCTGCCTTTGTCACCCAGAGGAGGTTTAGAGTAGAACATGTCAGTAATAGTGGGATTCTGATTTGTTTGTATTTTTGATAGGGGACTAGAAATTACAATTTTTAGTAATTTGAGGTTCAAAGAGCAATACTTAAACAGTAAATAAAAAACAAGGGCAAGGTAGCTTTATTTACCATTTCTTTAAGAAGTTTCTCCTGGAGTCCTTTCATGTCCTCTTTCATCAGATGCATCTACAAGGAGAGAGGGCACACATCTCTGTTACCTCTGGTCACCCGCTGGCCAGAGCAAAACTACACCCTGATGGCCCACAACCGTGCAGTGCTGAGGAAGGAGACTTTGGAAGAGGTCAATACTTAGATCTGTTGGTAAAATTGAAGAATGATTAAAAACAAGAAAGAAACAGAAGTTCATCATACCTCTGAAGTAAAAATATGTTCTTCATAGTCAACAGTATGGAAGATGTTCTTTTCAAATGAAGTTTTAAGAATCTGGACTCTGAAGAAATAAAAGGCAGTTCAAAGAGCTTTGCTACATACGAACTTCGCAGACATATTTACGAATACATCCCCTTATTTGTACTTAAAAGCATGGCTAAAGATCACCATCATCGTTACTACTGGCATAGTCCCTCAGGTATGTGGGGAAATTCACATGGAGAATAATTAGATTTTTAATCTCATTCTCTCATCTCATCTATATCTCTATTGAATGGATGAGAGAAATGGCAGAGAGAACAGTAGTGAGCCTGACTGATAGCTCAAATCCCAGCCTGGGGAGAACGAAGCCAACTAACCTCTGCTGCTCATTTTTCATGTATGTACTAAAAGTATGTACTTGTTTTTTCCAAAAGGTCTAGAAAGAAAAAAAAAAAATATTAATAGATGATAATCAATAGGCACCAACATTTTCTGAACAGACTAATATCTAATATGAATAAAATAACCTACAATCACAAACTGAGCACACACTGGGTAGGAGTTACACAGTCACCACAGATGCTTGGAGAAAATAATCAATACTACGCTTAGCTGGTGGGATGTGGCACTTCAGGGCTCTAGTTTCATGGAACCAGTTTCACCAGAAACCTGTTCTGCATAACAGTTTCAATAGTATGGAAAAGAACAAATTAAATGGAAAGTCTGATTAAAATAAGGCATGCCTTCAGGGTAAAAAGAAAAAAAAGCAAATATAAGTCTTGTGTTTACATGAGTATTTGTATATTGCTTTTTACATTACAGCAAGTAGCAGACCCACAACGTCAACTGCTTCTTGTAGAACTCACAACAAATCAGGTTCAAAAGTCTACAAGCCGTTCCTGAGACACAGCCCAGCTGGAAAAAGGCCCACAAAGTGGGGTAAACAGCCCGTTAGCAGCAGCAGCAGTTCAGTCCAGGGAGAAAAACACAGTGGTGAGCTGGACATTCTGTGACCACAGCATTGGCCCATCCTACACCTCAAATTCATTAATTGAAATATGACCCCACTTCAAGCAAAACAATAAAGGGTTTTTAAAAACAGAATTAATGATTTGAAGTTAAAGATGATATGAGTAATTTATGGGCTCCATAAGAATTTGTTTCTCTCCATGATCAAGTAATTAAAATACAAACCGAGAATTCTTTTTCCATGTTTTTCAGGGACTGAGAATCTTTTTCGAAATTCTCGAGTTCCTCAAGGAGAGCAAAATGAAATTTGTCCAGCTGCTTGACCCTACCAAAATAAAACAAGGTACTTTTAGAAGGTATTAATTGCATTTCAAAGGTGTTTTAAAATAAATCTTTGGTTACAGACCTGCATTCATGAAGCTGGTAACTCATTGTTGTCAAATGCTCATGGGCTGCTCTTAACGATTGCTTGGTAAAGTGATCCATTCTCTGTGAGCGGCTCTAAGAGGATTGTTTAACATGAAATTCAGATTATTATCAATTTAGGAAGAAAAACCCACCTGTAATGTGAGCGGCTCTAAGAGGATTGTTTAACATTAAATTCAGATTATTATCAATTTAGGAAAAAAAACCACCTGTAGTATGTTTAGTACTGTTTTTGCTTAGCAGAAAACTTTTTTTAAATTATCTCCCTATCTCTTAAAGAAAATCAGTTATTGAAATGCAAACAGAGGTTTATGGTTTTGATAAAATTCTACCTAATTAGAAGTACATTATTTGAAAAATATATTTCCTCAAAATAGAGAAAGTACCCACGAAATGAATGATGGGTGCTTAGAGCTGTCTTAGATGAACATACACATTATTCAGGCTCATGGTTTCCTTTTTGCAAATGAATTTCATTCATGGGGTATGACAATTTGAAAAAAACCAAAATGCACTATGGTCATGACTTCAGATACGTGAGCTTGTTTGGAAACAGACAGGACAAAAAAATAAAACAGATGCAGGAAACAAAATTTTTGGAGAGTAAGGTACGTAAAGGAATTTAAAATGGAGTAAAGGAAACTTGAATTCTGTCGTTTCTTGCAGTTCTATGCATGTAGCTGTTTTCATGTCCTTCTAAGCAAATCCTGTGGTGCCAGCCCCGCTCTCATCCACACACACGTTCCCCCCAAACAGCACAGAGGAAAGGTCTTGCCTCTATTTTCCTGGTAAATTCTTTCTGGAGCTTCTGACAGATACTGACAGTCGAACAGCCAGGCTCCCAGAGCTCCCTGTCCAGGACAGACAGGTCATTCACAGACACCGTAGAGATGCTTTCAGACACTGAGGAGAAGTAAAAAAAGATAAAAATCACAATTGTGTACGAAGAAGTATCCCAGCTGAAGTTTCAACTGGGCCTAGAACAGCATCGTTATATTAATTTCACCAATTAGATGGATGAGAGCAGTTTCTATTTTCATATCAATCTTCTGACTTTTTAAATGGATAGTCTCTAAATATTCAACTTTTTTTAACATGTAAAATGCTTTTTTATGGATACTCCCTCTTCTTGTTAAAACTTTGTTTTGTTACTTTAAACTTTTGCACAGCTATAATCAACTTCCAGGCCATAACTAACCTCTGTATGTAACAGCATCATCTGTTTTAAATAATTTTCTGGGCTGTATCTTTTCTATTCTCTTTCCTTTCTGTTCCTTCCCTTTGCCTGTTTCTACTTCCTCAGAATTGCTTTCAGTATCACTGTGGTACCGCCGTTTGAGGAAAGTCGGTCCTGTAATAAACATAAAAACAAAGCTTAATTTTAGGATTATTTAGAACAATGAGATGGGAAGGTAAGAGTTTACTGAGCCTTTGTGTCCACACTCTAGGAGTGTGTGTCTTGGCTGTGAAGCTCAAGAAGTACAGAAAAATGCCTGAGTGTTGTGTTTATGGAGGGCACGCTGCGCAGCCAGGAGATGGTGGTGGGAGTGAGCAGCAGGATGGGAGCGCAACTAACCGGTCACAGGAACTACATTTTGGAGCCCAGTTTTTGGATTTTCTGGAGGTAATTAAAACAGCAAAGAAAATGAGAGAGTAAAAATGGAGCAGTACTGAAAATATATGAAAGAAAACAAGATTAAAAGACTTGGGCGATACTTAAATGCCAAGTAAACATTTTTCTTAATCTGTACTGATACACATCAAAAGCTTTTTGCTTTAAATGGAGCGTTTGTACCTGACTCGTTTATGGGGCCACAGGGCTCTTCACTCCAGGACTGCACTTTGCTTCCACTGGAAACAGACAGCGGGGATGGGGCTACACACTCCTAAAAGACAAGGCACTGATTTATTGGCTTCCAAATTAAAGCACTCTTAGAAGTCTTCATCAGAAATCCACGTTTCTGTTGCTTTTCATTAAACTAGGGACATGAACACAACTACAGTAAGAAAAACAAACTTGAATTACTACTAGGTCTCATTAGATGAAAGAATAAACAAATTCTTCACCCCATTAATAATTAACGATAGCAAGAAGTCAAATGACAAATAAGGTCTAACTGTTTCTTGCAATAGGAAAAAATTATTTCTTAAAGGAGTCAATACTTCTTTCACCAGCAAAAGTACTTAGGAGAAGCTGTTTGAAGGCATACAGCAGTTTTAGTTATTTGCCAATGCTACAATAGCTGTTAGATTTAGTATGTTAATGATAAAACTGTGAAAGCCCCCTTTTACCTCAATTTTTCCAGGCTGATGTCACTATTCTTTAATTTGTGAAAAGTTGTTTATTTTTCATTGAAAATAAAGAAAAAATATTTAATCCCTGTTGTTTTTAAAGATATTAATTATAACTGACCTTGTGGGGATACAATTCTTTCCTTGTATCCATATAATAAAGAATTCCCTAATTTATCTCAAATATTTAAAAATTACTAGTAGGATCTTCCAAGCAGGTCACAAGTAAACATTATATATAGAGTTTAACATTAAGAAAGATGCATTTCCCTTAAGCCTCACCATCTGTAAAGCAGATGAAACAAAGGAAAAGCTACAGTGCTCTTTGGAAGAGCACAGGCTTTAGCAATGTACCTCCTCCTTGGTGCTGGTGCCGGGCTGAGGGATCTCTGGCACCTTCCCCTTCCCAGAGAGTAGGTCTGAAAAGCAGCGTCTGAAACTCGAGTCTTCCTTGTTATCGCGAGTTTCAGACACAGAGCCCTTCCCAAGTTTTCCACTGACAGTTTTATACGTCGTTAAGCTGAGCTGCATATTAACAAAAAAAAAAATCATTATTGAAAGGAAATGTATAAAAGCATCGAACAGTTGGCAGCTGAATGGAACAACTGCAGCTAAAATAATTGTAAAATAATATTCTTACCACAGATGCGTCAGTTAAGATTGGTGAGAAACTTTTATTTCCAAATGTTAACTTTTTAACGGTCACCTCAGGGGACTGGTTCATACATAGACTTTGAATATTATTTTTTTGCGGATAGAAGTTATCAGGAGAGATCCCTTTCTCAAAGTTTAACACTTCTGTTTTTTCTGGTGTTGACTCCTGGAGACCAGGTGACCTCTCACTGAGAGTCAGCTCTGGAGGAACATCTCCTTCTGACACCCTCTCAGCACCTAGAAAATAGTCACTTAAGTGTCAGCAGAGGTAAGTGAAAGCCCCACACTGGTAACTGCTCCAGTTCTAGGTATGTGCAAGTCTCACAAGTGGGGAATTGAAGTGTGGGCTGGTCACACTTGCACTTATGGCACTCTCCTCACTATTTTAGCAGTTACCAGATTCATTCTAACACTTATGTACTGCACATCTATGTTATCCCGATGTCAAATAACTGCACCAACCTTAAACACGCTCCCTTAAATTACATGGTACACACTGAATTAGGGGCTGTCATTTATTTTAAAAGCACGAAATAAATCTAAAATTTTACGACTGTGATAATCCTCATTTAACCTCCAACTTCTGATGCAGAATTGCTATAAACTACAAGTCAAAATACATACTTCTCATTGTCTCAAGAGATGCAGGACTCTCAGATGAAGGCACTTCAATTTCCCTTTCTTCTGCAGAATTCTTTGGTTTAGTAAGTGCTTTATGTACAGAGTTAGTTACTCTCTTTGGCTCCACAGACAGAACACTCTGGAGTTCCTTTTGCTGATTATCATCCTTGTTTTCTCCATTCGTATGTTTCTATTGAAATACAAAGTTTATTTAAACATTATTTGTAAACGTACAGAAGTATATATATATATATATTGGAAGCAATTACCAATGCTTTGTGATTTAATCAATGAAGTTTACAGACCTAGCCATATACACTGAAATGTTACACTAAAAGAATGAAAATGTTTTGACACCCAACATCTTAATTTACAAAATAGTCCTACTTGGATCCTCAGCAAAGGTACTGCCCCACCCGGCACGTTCTGCTGTGCCCAGGAGAGGCACAGCACCAGCACAAGCACGTTACCTACAAGAACAGCCTCTGCTCACTAAAACCTCCCACTTCAGACTTTTTCAAAATAGCAGTAGGTTTTCAAAGTAAAGGACACGGTGGTTCTTTGCAGCAGAGTAAATTCCATAAACAGAAACTGAAATACTACTATGACTGAGGTGGTTATTTAAAACGGATTTTCTTAGCAGCTAAATACTGAAATATTAGAAAAAGGGCATTGCTAGAAATAATAAAGAAAATTCATTTCCACTTGCTCATGTTGGGCACTTACAATTCAGGAGTACAAATTGCAGAGTAGACCAGAGTTTATTTTGAAAAACATGGCAGAAGTGCATTTTTAAGAATCAAATGCAATTTATACCTGTGTTTTTGATTTCTCCTCCTTAGAGGCGCGTGCTGAAGATTCCCATTCACCCTCTGACTCAGAACTGGAAAGCTCTTTGTAATTTTTTGCTAACGCTGCTCTTCGAGGTCGTTTTTCTCTGGTGGTTTGTTCTATTGTTTCAACAACTCTTGACTTCTGTTTTTTATATTCATTTTTCTTTGAAAGAATAAAAACATCTTTCAGTTTATGAAAAATTATTATAAAATTATTTCTGGAGTAAGTTAAGACATTTTGAATATGTATTACAAGTCTACTTTCAAATTTACATTTACCTTTTTCTTATTTGCATTTTTGCCCTTGGGTTTCTCCATGTGGCAAGCAGGTTCAGAGAATTTCTCTGCTGTTACAATACATAAAGTTAGAAAAAATCAATAACATAGTAAAATGTTTGACATTTAGAGTTCTAGCTCTAATATCATAGAATCACTACATGCCTGCAAACCTACTGACTCAGCAAACTTCCTTCAGCACATTATTTTAAAAAGCCAAAGGTTTTTTGGTTGACAACAACCTCTGCCTGTCTGATCCTCCAACAACGTTCCATGTTGAAATACAGACTTTTTGGAAATGAATTGTTATGCTTGGAAATAAGATAACAAACCTGTATCGTATCTGCAGCACAGCACATCACACACTGCACATCACACACTGCACCGAGTATCTACAGACAAATTTATCGCAGCGGTCTTAAGAAATATGAAACAAAGTTTCTTACCTTTGTCTGTGCTTATTGGTTTCCTGAAGTTTTTACTTCTACTGTAGTCAATTAACTGGAGTTTAGATTTTCTGTTTGATTCTTGTAGCCAACTGATGTCTGTCTTGCTGTCATCAGCTCTGTATTCTGTGTCTGTGTCACTAAAGAGATGCTTCTTGTTTTGATTGTTTCTAGTCTACAAAACCCAAAAAAGTTCTTAAGTTTATTGATCTACTTTTAATATACCTTTCACTTACAGAATTGGTATTTAGAGGCAGGAAGACAAGGTATGCGCTGACCCACAAAAATCTGAGCCTTACTTTTTTCCTTCCTTTAACTTCAGTTCCAGTTTTCCTGTCATCTGCATTCCTTAATTAGAAAAAGAAAAAAAAATCTTCAAATGATACATTTAAAAATACTTGTTCTGAATCTTTCTACTATTCATGGGATATGTGGATTAAGGATTCAGACAGATGTACCTACTTTTGTTTTCACATCCATTTAGGAAATATGTGTTTACCTTAAAGCCTGATTTGCTAATGCTGAGTAAGAACACACAGAACCAGCACGTCCCTTTGCAGGCTCCTCATTAACAAACCACCACCCCACTCTGTGAAGGGGTTTGCATCCCCACAGTATTCCATGAAGAGAACCAAAGCTGTTTTCTTCATGAAGTACACTCTTTCCTTTTTATCAGCTTCCCAAAGGAAAATCAGAAACAGCCTAGGAGGCCCCAGCAGCTGTGTCTACTGCTGGAAGAAACACCCCAGCCAAGCTATTGCTGTCCCGCATACACTCCCTGGATTGTCATCACGGAACGCTGGAGGATGCAGCCAGTGCTGCTCTTGGGGATTACCACAGAAACATCCCTACCCTTTTGTGTTTGGATCTGTACGAACACTCAGCTCAGTAACATGCAGTTCTGGGACCTAAAAATGTAAATAAATTAAAAACAAATTAAAGTTTTGATTTGTTACACAATTTAAACAAAATTAAACAGGCCATCAGACAGTAACAGCTCGGGGCTTTCTTGCTCAGTTTTTTTACTTGACAATTAAATTTCGATGATTAATTTCTATCTTAGAAATTATTTAACAACAGAGCTGATAGTTAAAACCAACAGGAACTGACTGAAGCTTTCAATATCTCTAACATACATTAGTTTCCATCCACTTTGCTTCCCTGCCTTCACCGATTCAGCAGCCTTCTCTGAGCCATAAGCAGCAAGGCTGTCTTTTGTTGTCTTTTGCTTCTACTTTACCTAGACTTTCCTTTTACTCAAATATCTGGGCAAACATGTCTTTGCCATGGGGATCGGAAGGAAAGCAATAGCGCTTTCAGGATAATAGGATCAATCGAAAGATAATGATACTCATAAAAACCTCTTTTATTCTTTATTCAGGAAAACATCAGAATATCTTTAAGTCACCAGAAGCTTAGGATAGCAAATATCATTCTACATTTGAAAGGGATGGAGGTATTTACATGGCAAACGTTTTTCCCCTCTAAAATTTCAAATTAGGGCACTGATTCCAGCTGTTAACTGTACTTCCAGCAGACATCATTTAAGTTGACTGAACTCCTTTATATTCTATTCATAACATATCAGTTTCAGTTATATTCTTACTCCAAGCTTTATTGTAGGCTCATCAAACCCACTGATGTTAAAGTTGTAGACATCATCCCTGTCAAACAGACACACAGATCAATTTTGTGACTGAATTAATGAGCATTTCACAAAGGTAGGTATGGGTAATTGGAAATTCTGTTTGAAAATGCTTTAACTACTTACATAATATGACCAGCAGTTCCATTATGCAAAGTAGTGGTTTTGGGGTTTCTATGCTGAACTTCTTCCTATACAGAAATAAAAAGTTAAGTCCCATGTCAAATTTGGAGGATGCACCCTGTCATCTCAGAAAGCAAGTTCTCCACCAGGCACGTAAGAAAAAGCCCAGCAGCTGCTCCAGCTCCACTGCCTGGGACCAGCACAGCAGGGCAAAAGGAGACAAGAGCTAGTAGAAACTAAATCTTTTAGAGTTTATCCTTTAAAGATATCAACAAAACCTCACAATTTTTCCCCCCCAAGCATTGAGACTAATTTCTGTGTCTTAGCTATATCCCATTTAAGGATTCTATAATCTCATTTACTATCATATTTTTATTCTAAATATTTAGCATTGCTCCTTTTGAACAGGGCAGAGTCAACTACATAATTTGTAAACAGAAATTAATTTGGGTTTCACTGGCTGACAGTTACTTCTAAACATATTATTCCACATCAGTAAATATATTAAAAGTATTTTAAGTATATACAGTCAATGTGTAATTAACATTAACACCTACAGATACTCAGCGTTCAGTGGTTTGTGAACTTTAGCTTTACATCTACAAGCTACCACCATATATGCATGTACACATGAAATGAAACAAATAGCCGAAAAAGCAATGTTACCTTAGAGACACAGGATTTATTTAACTGTGGCCTAAAAAGTAAGGATACATTTTGTTAAATGCTAATTAGAAAATATGCATTAGAACACTGTTTATATAAATAAAAGCCTTATCAAACACAACAAGCTTATTCTGGCATTTAAATGCAAACCCAAGGGAATTAAGAGATCAGCCCCTTTCACTTTTGTGCTCTAGAAAAATTAATTCCAGACACACAATACATTGCAGGTTCTGCACGGCCAGGTCCCCACCCACAAGGTTTAATAGGTGACACAGCTATTCCAGTCCTTTGTCACCCATTTACAATCAGACATGGGGAGCATGTAATTATATGTAAAACATATCTCCAAGCATCAGTTGCACCAGCCACTGAAGAGTTTCTAACAGCCTTTGTGGTTATTGCAACTACTGAACTGACTACTGGGCTCCTACACTTCAGTAGGACAGGGTTTGTCAGATGAAAGCTGGATGTGAAATACCTGAAGACAGAGGAGGCAACCACAGACAAAACTACGTGCACAAAAAGAATAAGCACAAAAGTAAATAGTTCATATCATACCTGGTAAAACCCAAGGAGCATCTTGCTTTGCTTTTCTCATCAGTCTTTACTTGATATCTGTCACCAATTTTACTGATTAGTGATTTAGTCGCATCTGTGATCTCTTTAGACTTCGTTTTCTATAAAAACAGAGTTTAAGACTCAACTTTGAACCCTTTGAACAGAAGGGCAAAGCTGCAAACAGAACTACAAGTTCCTATTAATGCCCTAAACTTCATTAAATGTGCTAAATCACCTTCTTTTGAAAATCTTTTTCACTTTCATTGCCCAAACAGGGAGCAACAAAACATCATTTTAGCAGACATTTTCTTTTGAACGTTATGGTTTTATGTACTATAACATTCGAAAGTGAATGAAGAAGTGCATGAGAAGTACAAGTAGGTGCTTATTTAAGAAAATTTTTTTTAAAGATTATTTCTGAAAAGAAATTCAGAGTAAACTGATCTTACAGCTGACACTGAGCAAACAGTGAAGCTGAGATTACTTAATTCACTCGGTATCAGTGGAAAGTCAATTAAAAATACATTTGTGACTAAATGAAAGTAAAATACAAATTCTGAAACACTGAAAATTTGTCAGTTGTCTGAACTGCAAGTCAAAGAAACCAAGGTAAGAAACTCACCGTCTTTGATTGTTTTGGATTTGCAGTCTCTTTCTTTAAGAGAACAGCAGGTTCCTCTTTTGTAGGATCAGAATGCAAAGCTGTTTCGGACACTCGCCCTGAAAGAAATGTTTCAAATGGTGTTTCAGTAGTAGTTTAAGTATTTTTTATCTTCTGTACTTAACAGTTCTGTTCCTAATGACTAATACCGTGAGTGTCCACTAAGTATTTTGCAATTATCTTCTCTCATGCTATCAGTTTCATTTTGCTTTCTTCTGTTTTTCAGTTTCTTTGCTTATCTGGAGAGATCTTTCAAAAAATTGAATAAAAAGCTTTTTGTTTCACAGCTCTTCCACTAACAACGAATACAGGAAAAAACCCAAAAGTACAGCTGCAGATTAAAAATTTATCTGAAACATTTTTAGCATAACAGTTGAAGTGTGAACATAACCTGGATGGGATGTATGTGCCAACGGTGGATTTAGCTTTTCCTTGTCTCCAGTTGTTATATTCTGCTCAGGAACAGAGCATGATCTCTTTTTCCACTGTTTGGTTTTATCAAAAGAAGTCTCCAAAAGACCAGACAACCTAACAAAGACAACGGCATCTTATTATCAGTGAAATGCATAAAGTGTCTTTATTATAATAACCATGCATCACAGATTAGGAAAACAGTGATACCTTGCAGATAACAATACATTTTACAGTGGCACCTACACCTGCTACCATCGCTCTATTAACCATCGCAGTGTAAAATGGCAAACCTCAAGAAACAACACAATTTTTTTAAGTCAGCTTCAAAAAAGCAAATATCCCATGGCCATCATTAAACCTTGAGCCTAGATAACTGGGGTGTGTCAACTCTACTACTCTTTATGGTAAAGTTCACTGACATAAGCCTGTATGTCATTTGTATCTGAAAGAATTACTCTCCTTATTACTTATAAAGCTTAAACTCCTACTCTGAACTTGTAAGTGATTACTATTTTCATAAACAGATTCATCAATTTAAATTCTTTTTTTAAGACAACAGAATGGTATTGTTCATGAAGTAGTCTTACAGCATATGAGTGCTGGTTTGGTGCTGTGAATTTCAGAATTAAAAAAAAAAAAAAAAAATCCAAATCGACATAATAAAAGTGACCCGACCTACACAGCCAACAGTTCTTAATGCAATTCTCAGGGAAGAAAAGACAATTAAATTCTGTGATTTTCTGAAACTATGCAACAAAATTTCAATTCTGGCAATACTTGAAAATATTCTCTTCAAAATGAGTGACAACAACAGTGATTTGTTATTTTTCTGCCAATACTTACAAAGGTTTGGTGCTTCTCTCTACCGGCTGAGAATCAGGAACAACATCTAATGCATCATCTAAATGAGACATTTGGTATCAATTATTATTACAAAAGAAATGGACAAAATTAAAATAATTTTAAAAGTAAGGACCATCAACACTTGTAAAATTACTTGCCCAAAGTTTGCTTTTGTGCGGCCTCAATTTCCGTCTCTTGTATCATTTCTAGAACTTCTTCAGCACACATTCGCTACAGGGGGCAACACCCAAAAACACTCCGTTAGCACAGGACTGTAATCAGGGTAACTTGTCAACTCGCATTTTCCCAAATAAAATATGAAATTATTTTTTCATGTCATAGAGGTGCTGATTCCAGACCTTTTCAGGTAGTTTTGCCTCATTTCTGATACTTGACTTCCTGCTCTTCTGCTTGGTTTCAGGCAGCTCACTGCCCAGTGCACACCTGGGCTCACTCTGGGAAGCACAGGGAGTGACACTGACAATTACAATCCGTAACAGCCAAAGAAGGAATTCTAGAAAGTAGTACAATCCGTAACAGCCAAAGAAGGAATTCTTCTAGAAAGTAACACTTGAAATATTCTAAACTACACATTCTATGTTAAAGCCTTTTTCTGAAGTATGGCTGTTTCAAAAAATGCTTCAGAATCCCATAGTCCACGACTTGACCTGATCCTCACCCAGAAAGAAAATAAGAACCAGAAATAAAATAAAAATGTTATTTTGAAGTCTGTTCAACTGGAACAGAAGCAAAAATACATCTACTCAAACTGCAGCTCAGTGACACCTACAGTTTTGTTTGATTTTAGTGAATGCCTAATCAAAAATGCACTAAACCCAATGCTATAAACACTATAACCTGAAGACATTAACATTTCACAGCTATAGCTGAATGTATCGCGTGTTTTTAGGAGTATTTCAACACTGCATAATAATCCAAGAGTCTCTGCATACACCCTCCTCATATTACTCACAAAGAGTTTTTAGGAGTATTTCAACACTGCATAATGATCCTAGAGTCTCTGCATACACCCTTCTCATATTACTCACACAGCAAGAACTGTGGCTCTAGTAAAAGCAAGTTAACTCTGGGGTCAGAACTCATGAGGGAATGCAAATTTTGCCTAATTTTGTAAAAGTTCAGTCTGACTTCAGACATATTAAACTTGAAATCCAGAGGACAGAAAACATTATGCAATAGAGTAAACCACACTATTTTCTACAAGTTGCTGACTACAAAACTTTTAGCTCTTTAAAAATATTAATCAGGAACAAATTAGAATAGAAATTAATGTTATTGTAAGTAAAAGACTTAGCTAGAGATGACATGCATACTCCAGCAGGTTCTGGACAGGAATTCTTTGCTCTGGTCTCACTCATTGCGTTGCTGTTCGACCTCTCAGCAGAGCTCATCATTTCCAAAGGGAGTTTGTATCGCCCTTTAGAAGGAGTGGCTGAAAACAAACCAGAGATGTTACAATTTTACCATTTCTTCTATTAGGATTACTGTGCTGTGACATCAATATGAAAAGTTTTACCCATTATCTGATCTATTCCTTAAACTTCAAAAAAAGTTGACTAGTATTTATATGAACTCATCATGTACCTTTTATAGTCCTATTGATTTCAATTAATTTCCATGGAGGTTAATGAGCCCATAGACTGTGGATGCCTGGAGCCAAGCAGTGCAAAAATTACGGTCTGGCTCTGGTAGAAAACAGTTGATCCCCCAGTTAAAGATTTTTACCGTGATATAATTGTGCTGGAATAGACTGTGTGGTTAAGTTCCAAATAAATAAAGTTATAGAAGTTCTCCTTCTTGTTCCATCTCAATCTGAAAATGCTTTCTTTTCTAGCCTCTGTTACTCTTAATTTACATCTGATACAACCCCTGGCAGAACAGCATGACTAACACTCTTCTTGCTTTAACTGCCTTAAGTGCATCAGTACCCTTGGTTATACACACCCGTGTGTCTCCAGCCTCTACTGGTCTTGTCTTATAAATCTCTCCCTTGTAGAAAGTATTAAATAACTGTCACAGTCAGACTATTAGTAGGAAAGGGATGAGTCCCATTGTAAAATCTCCTTAGCCTTTTCTCTACATAAGAGTCTATTGATTTCAATTAATTTCCATGGAGGTTAATGAGCCCATAGACTGTGGATGCCTGGAGCCAAGCAGTGCAAAAATTACGGTCTGGCTCTGGTAGAAAACAGTTGATCCCCCAGTTAAAGATTTTTACCGTGATATAATTGTGCTGGAATAGACTGTGTGGTTAAGTTCCAAATAAATAAAGTTATAGAAGTTCTCCTTCTTGTTCCATCTCAATCTGAAAATGCTTTCTTTTCTAGCCTCTGTTACTCTTAATTTACATCTGATACAACCCCTGGCAGAACAGCATGACTAACACTCTTCTTGCTTTAACTGCCTTAAGTGCATCAGTACCCTTGGTTATACACACCCATGTGTCTCCAGCCTCTACTGGTCTTGTCTTATAAATCCCTCCCTTGTAGAAAGTATTAAATAACTGTCACAGTCAGACTATTAGTAGGAAAGTGATGACTCCCATTGTAAAATCTCCTTAGCCTTTTCTCTACATAAGCAGCACTTCTGATGTACATATCACTAGTGCTGGAGCTGTGACTCACACCTGCAGTGGCTCCCACCTCACTCCCCACCCACAGAACCAAGTGCCCCTCCAAGGGACACGGGCAGTTTCTGGGTACGGGTAACGGCAAGGGGCAGATGCACAACTGGGCAAGGCTGATGTCCCACTGCAACTGCTATGAAAGCACCAACTGCTGAGAATTCTTTAAACCAAGGGCATATGAGGAAAGAGATGAAAAACCACCTATGCTTTAGGTCTTCTCATCGACTGCTGACTTCTCAGCCTGTGCAGCACACCCAGCTGGGGGACAGCAGCACTGCCAGCAGGAGCTGTCTGGAGCAGCTCCTACCCTGCATCCTGTCTACGGACCACTGGCCCAGTTTAAAAACTTCAAGTTTCAAGCACCTGGTAGGGAGATTTGATAAGGCCTACTTTTCATTTCCAGCTCTGCAAAGGATCACAGTTCATGGTTGCATTTCAAAGAGAATTGATAACATTTTTTTTACCCTGAAAGCACTTGTGAACATACATGTGCTAACAAATACCAGTGGACTCCTTGTGGAGAATCTCGTCGTTCCAGGAATGAGCACGGATGCTTCGGACACTTTCCTTTTACAAGAGGTAGTTATCTTGAAGAACAGAGAAATCTTGACATAATAGACAGATTTAAGGATGACAACACAAGACTTCAGAAAAATCTATTTCCAAGAGTCTGTTGACACTTTCTGTTATTGGAATGTCCACTACTGTTGCTGCACACACCAGTGTAATGGGATTCTTACGTAGTTCCCTTCTTAGGGAAAGTTCACTACAATACTTGAATTGTGCACTACTTTAATGTTTTTAGACTGAGATCAGTGATTGTTTTCTAAATCAATACAGGCCTTGTTGCTAATTACAGCTATTACTATTGCTGCTCATTACTAAGTCTCCAAAGGCTATACTGGATGTGGGCGTACGGTAAGAGATCTAAGCATGTCTTGAAAACATTCCTCTTTGAAGAGAATTCTCAGAGCATAACGGTCTAAAGAACATTAACAACTACTTTTTGGTTTTGTCACATTATTATGTATTTGGAAACTAACAATTAGAAACTTTTTGAAACAGGATTTATATAGCTTAGTGCCAAGTCATAAGGAAAAAAACCAATCAAATCCTGTATTAATTATATACCAACTGTAAAATAACAGCGGCTTTATATTATAAAATATGGTAACTATTGAAATTGACTTCTAATGCACTCTTTTCTGTTTTGATACCCCTACTTACCTTGGAGGAACCACCTCTGCATTTTTGTTGATGGTTATTGTCATTCAGAGTCCTCAAAGTTCCAGGAAGTTGCTGTGTTTTGTACTTGCTGACTTTCTCCTCTTCAGATTTTTCTTCCAAACCTGGTGACAACTGACTTTCTGGTACCAGAACCTATGTTGGATTTTTTGGATTTGTAAGTTTTGGGTTTTTTTTAAATTTTTTATTCAATATTTGGATTTTATTATGTTCTATATTTATACAAACACACAGAGAACAACTTCTTTACCCTAAGTAACACATTCCTCACTGTACATTTTGATCAACTTCAGAACTGTAGCTTGAAAAGCATCCAACCTGTTATTTTTGCTAACGAGGATGGGTCATCAAATCGCAGCTCACACAGAACTTCCCCTGTGTACACTTGTCTGTGTACACTCTAGGATTGGGATATTACTCTCTCCCTAAACGTACAATCCATACGTACTAGAAATCACTTAACTGATATGAGAGTTATCTTCACTCACTGGCATTTTAGAAGTCCTTGTTTTTATGGTGAATGATCATGAATTAGCTAATACTGAAACTAAACATAAAAAACCAAGAAAACAATCATCTCTGTAAACTGAAGTAACATACCTGTGATCCACTTTCATCAAAGACGACATGTACAGTTGTCTTGGCAACCGAGGCAGACTGCTTCTTGCTGAAGCCCTACAGAGGCAGGAACCACCAATGTAAAATATACACTTTGCTCACTTATTTTAAACAAGAAACAGCAAGAAAATATTTAAATCAGAGATCATAAGTGTCTGGAATTGGATTATAGGGGAAAACAGATTCCACAAGCTCACAGCAGTTCACTCCTCACAAGTTCCTCAGCCAACCCGAGCTCAGGGCAGTGATTTGTTACAAGCAGTGAGGAGTAAGCTACAGCTTCCTAAACATTTTTTACTAAATAAGTAAATTCGTAAGAGTGTAAATTTATTTCAAAATGGGATAGCTATGAGTAATTTCTGAATTATCTGTAAGCATCCAGTTCTTGCACTTCTGGAAAATTATATATGCAAAACTTGACTTCAAGCTATGGTGATCCTTTTCCAGCCAGTTAATTTCTGTTGCAATTAACTTTAAATTTTACTGAAGCTTAACGTATTATGGCAGAAATGTTCTGTAATGGTGATGTTAATCAGAAACTCTTGGTATAAACAGATACCAATAATCCCAACATTTATATGGCACTGAGACATTTATTTTGAATCAATTAAAAACTATTTTAAAAGATGTTGAAATCTTACCTTACATTTACTTAATCCATAAATCTTTCCGACTACATCTTTGATTTCCAAGATAGAATCAAAGTATAAAAAAAATTTCTCTCCTTCTTGACTCCCCACATTCATTCGGCTTTTGAGATCTATTGTCAATAATTTTTTTGAATCTTTTTCTGGACAAAAACAAAGTTTGAAAAGAAGTTTCATTACGGTTTAACAACATCTCATATAATGTTTGTAAATACATGAAACTTACTTGTATTCTTCAGTTCACCCATTAAGATGTACATTTTATTTAATTCACTCTAACCTCCCATCAATTTTATTAGCAAAACAACTACAGATTCCATCTTTTAGACGCACTTATTCTGTATACTAGCCTGTAGAATTTTCTTTGAAGGTTATTTACTATAGCTGCAGACAAATTATAGATATTTACAAAGCTATTCTAATGCGTTTAATAGAAATGTTATTGAATGTCATTGTCTTATGCTAGAAGACATTTTTAAAACAACGATTTTAATAAAATCACACCTGCATGCCTAGAATGGAAATGTAACCGCAGGGCGATTTTATCCCACAGAAACAGTACCTGTAGTATTTTAAGTGAGATTTTTGCTTTGCTGAGATCTGAGTCAGTACTTTATGATTAATCAATTTGAAAATCCAAGTTAGTGTGTAACAAAAGGTCAGCTTTTTGATTGCCAATACCTTCAAGGCTGTACAGATCTACCTCTTCTTCTGGTATAATGACTGTTTCCCACTGATGATCCTTATACGAAAAATACATATTTTTAAAGATAGAAAAAGCATTATATTACCATTTAATGAAGTGCAGTGATCAGAAAGTTATCCAGTGGGAACAAATTTTCAACTTTTTAAATCCTGTGTTACAAGCAGTGACAATGAACCATACGCTCCATTTATAGCGAGCACTATTTCAGAAGAGCTTTGGGAGAGACATTCATCTAACAGTTGAATTTTGGCTACAAAAAGTATAATTGCAATCTTGTAATTGGCTTCTTGTCCACACATTAAACTGTTTGCAAACATTATTAGAAAGTCATTACATAGAAAGTGTTTGATCTAAGCACGTACACCAAATCCAGCTGCCTCTGTTCTCCCCCCCCCACCCTGGAGGCACACGGAACTTACACGTGTCCACGTGGGGGAACAGGCTGGAAACACGCGAAACACGTGAACCTACCGCCTCAGAACAACCCCGTAGGACAGACAAAGCTCAGCTTACTGTGTCATCTGCTGCCACATAGAAAGATATACTTCTGCTACCAACATTGAAATCAATCCAAAACTCTTCAAGATTTTCATCCAATGGGATCTGTAGCTAAAATGAAAAAAAAAAAAGAAGACAAAAGAGCCAAGAGCAATGATTTATAGCAGCTAACAGGCTTTGTGTTACTGACAAACTTTAAATACATGCACATCTGTATACTCCTGAAAAAAAATAATTTTCTTAGTCTGTATTTTGTCTTAACTAGACATTAAAGAAATTCTTCAGCTGTACAAATGAAGATCTGTGGAGATATGGTAACTCACCTCATAATCATCAAGAGCTGCTGATAAACACGGGTATGTAAAAACCCTGTAAGAAAAGGATATTTTGTCAAATATCCTGAAATGCTGTAAATAAATTTTGCATTTCTGAACACAGCAACTGGGTTGTGTTTTCCGCCCAAAACTTGTGTACTTTAGAGAGTAAGAGATCGCATCAATTGAGACTGCACTTCTTCCCCAAAGGAGGTAACGTGGAATTTCATATATCCTCCCAATCAGAGCAGTGCTCTCAGAGCACTTGTCAGTGCATCCACACCTCTAACTTACCCTGCTACGTTAGGCACAGTGTTCAAACTGCACATACACCTCATACAGACACACCAGGCAATCTCTTGGCTGTCATGACATACAGAAGTAACATGCAGAGCATGTCATCATAGAGATAAGAAAAAAGCTCGTATTTTCTCCTCCCTTTCGTGTCTATTTCTCTAGCAGATATTCTCACTAATCATTATCTCCATGTAAATTTCCTAAATCAGTAAAGGAATATATACCAACAGATCACTAGCTATTGTTAGATGATGTTTATTGAATTAATGAGCATCTCAGGATTTTGCAACACACCTAAAGAGAATACAAAAAATAGTTCCTTATGAGTACTTAAAGGAAGCATAGAAAGGTTACTCCCAACGAACAGCCAAAAAATCCCAAAAAGAAAATAATACTAGCTTTACAAAACTCGTTTTTACCTTCTTTTGTCTCCAAGCATGCCATTCACCTGGTTAAGAAATTTTCTGCAATCCTATTAAAACACAGAAATTTCTTAAAGAATTGTAAACCAGAAGTTTACCTCCCCGGAAACATTTTTCATACGACTTACTGTCTCAAACTCAGAATCTTTAATTCCCTTAAATGCGTTGGACACAAACTCCATGGAGAACCACTGGCACGCCAGCTCTCTTCTTTGTTTCTCTGAGATCATTCTGCATAAAGCTTCTGTGATGGCCACTTGCAGGTCATAGTCTGCAGCACAACACATTGCACAGGGATATTAGTTCCAAAGACACCACTGATGTCAAAAAATTATTAGTACGTAGGAAATGGTTATAAGCAGTGTTGACTGTTTCAAATTACGTACAACTTCATATCCAAATACATAACCCCCAAAGGATATCTAGATAAAGAACTAAGGGAATAAGGAAGATGAAACAACTCATGTTTCACAATGAAATTTCAACCGGGCTTCCAAGGAAGGTCAGAGCAACACCAGGCCATGGCAGCAACCACCACCCCTCAGCTGGAAACTGCTGGATGGCAAAGTGCTCCCTGGCAGAAGTTACAGTACTACTGAACACAGCCAGCACTTCACTCTCCTCAAGGACTGACTTCCTCGTGAGCTTTTGGTATTTTAACACTTATATTCTAGAGCAGAAAAGCACTGGTAACTTCAAAGGCTTAGGCATACACTGCATATATCTGAAAAATTCCAGCTCACAGATTGGTTTCGTGCTGTGTTTGTCAGAGGACTGTAACTGCAACATTCTGCAGCTTCTAAATGCCCTCCCTGGATTTTAAATTTGTCTGCATGTCATTTTTAAGAAGCTCAACACTAAACTGTTTATTAAGTCCCATGCTCACCTCCAGCATCCAGAATTCTTCTCCCCATGTCACTCCTGCCAAACACAGTAATGTTTCACCAAAAGATGGCAGCAACACAAAGCACAAAAGAAAAGTTTAGTTAGTGATGAGCTTTATATTTTTTAGACAAAACCCCGATTCCATTATCGGATTCAAAGGGGTAAGTCTGTTATGCCAAGGATATACATCTGAAAGTATGACTGGGGAAGTGAATCACCTCATAATATAATTTTTATTCTATTTGTTTTTTGAAATACCATAAAAAAAATTCCCAACATGAATACTTTGTCCTTCCAGAGACTGATTCGCTCTGCTTAACACACTTTCTTTAAATATGAGTTTAATTATTTTAAGACAACTGGGATGAGAAGCCCAACTCAGATGAGGAAAGAGGTACAGTTAGGCTTGTAACGGAGAATAACCCATGAGAGCCCCTGCCCCAGGGGCCACTACCCCGGGCAACACCACAGCAGATGCCAGAGTGAGCTAAAGAGGGACCAATCTGCACACTTTATTAACAGCCTTAGTAAAAACTGCCTTTCCAGCAATGCAAAGGATGTCCTGATACAAAAATTATACTGAAGATTATTTACATGACAAGCAACATTTCCTTTGTAGAAAATATCTTTTTCCTGACATCTCGAGGCATGTTGTCAAGCATTAAATTAAGTTTTCTTACTACCTAAGAAAAGTGGAAAAAAAGGGAGTAAGATGAAATATCAAATAAGTTGTTAAATTTTAAGTTATTTTTACTTTAGGCCCTTGCAATACACTTCTTACCACTGAAAAAAGGAACATGCTTAAATAATGGCAAAACAAGATAAGACGATGAGTTCTATCTGATCTTCAAATTTGTTCATCTTAATATAACTACCTCAATTTCAATAAATTACATTAGCTTTGATATGAACATCCTGTTAAGAGGATTATGTTTCTTATTTGCAGGGTTAAATAGAGAGAAAATACTTTCAAGGCTAGAGGTCTGTCTGCAGTCAATTGCTGAGCTAAAGTCTACCTTAAATTTGCATTAAAAAGCCTTTCCTTTGGGGACACAGCCTTTACAGCACACTTTTTTGTAACTTTCCCTTTCTTTAGAGAGGAAAAAACACCTTGACAATCTGAGGCTACTAAAATAAATACAAAAAATTTCAGTATGCTAGAAGGTATAAACATTTCCTGCAAGTACCCTTCTTACAGTTTAATACAGCTTTCTCCCCAGAATCTTAATGCCACTGTTTTGTGATTTAATGTCCAAACCAGAAATTATAGGTCAATAATCTGAAGAAAAAACCCCACCAGCCCCCAACACATAAATGACAACAAACAATATAAATGACAAACATTCCCACAGAAGCATTAAATCATCCTTTTAATACTATTCTCTTTTTTCGGTAGCATCTGTACAGTTAAATCACTATCTTCACAAAGTCTGTTAAAACACTAACCAGAAAACTGTTGCTTAGAAAGAATAATGTTTACCTCCTGCTGAACATAAATATTAATTCTTCCATCAGCGATGAGGGTACAAATTCTCAGAACAAAGTTTTCTAGTATTTGCATTTTATCTAATGAACAGAAAAAAATAAATTAAAAAAATTGTCAAGAATGTATTAGGTTACTCATCAGTGTTCAGAAAAAGATTCATTTTCATGTAGAAATAAAATATAATCTCTCTTCCTTTCCATACAGCATTACCGCTATTTAAAAATAAACACCTTAAGCTTCATGGTTCAATGTAAGACAGAATAGTTACTTCAATTTATAGTAAATATGGCTCTTTATGATGTTTCTATTCCTATGAATCACTGTGTAAGTCCCCTGGGCACGAGATCATTATTTTAAAAATATAATCACATCAGTTCTATAACTAAGATCTCCAAGATATAATTCAGACCCTGGAATTTATCTTCCCAGGGACAAGATAATTAATCTTTCATTTTGATCGTGAGAGCATAATGGTCTGCAGTGACTTTCTGCCCACTGAAAGGGAAGAGCAGCGTGATGTTCATGACAACACAATCACTAAAGAAGGACCACCCTGCTGGGCTGAGCTGTGGCAGCAGCTTAGAAACAACGCTGCCCTTAGGAAGAACTTGGTTCAGGTGCCATGTCTCAGGAGAGCAGACTGTCCTGCTTCTTTGTTACTGACATCAGCAAGTTACGGGGAAATCTGTCAGCAGAGAAACCTCAAATTAAACAATCAAAGTTCCAGCTGACATTCAAGCTTTTCTCACATGAATGAGAAGTGCAGTCCTTTGTGCACAGAACAGCCCTCGGGAGGGTGAGCCCTTTCCTGTCACAGCTGATCCCCTGAGCACAGAGATCCAGTGCTGTATTTACATCAGATCACAAAACTCTGCAACACCCTGATTGTAATGCTCTTCTCAGAATTACCTTGCCTCTGGACAGCTCCACTAACAGTAAGAGTTATTTTAGTGTTGATAAAGTTTAAAATGTCTCTTTCAGAACACTTTAACTACCATATCTAGAGTATCCTTTTTTTAAGCTCACCTTCAGGTCTGCTATCACATACAGCCTACAACAAAAAACAAAGCACATCATTGTGATACTGTAAATATTACAGCATAAAAATCAGGTAACATGCTCCTAAAGCAAGTAATCCAAAAGCATTTAAGATTTTTTAATTATTTCATCTGCATTGAAGGAAATTAGAGACTTCTAATATCAAGTGTAGTTTCCCAAAATTATATTTCAGTTAAATTTATGGAAACTATTTCCCCAAAGACAAAAATCTTATAAACTTGGGATCCTTCCTAAGTAATTTATGTAATTAAAATTAGACCAAGATTAATTTTTCTGTTCATTGAACATTTAAAATTTTAAAAAACCTAACAATGTATTTCATGATGCTAATAATGAACAGAAAAGGAGTACGAATACAGGCAAACCATCCAAGAAGACTTATAATCAATTTCAGAAATCATTGTAACATTAACTTCAGAAGGATTTTAAATAGAAACACATTTGGAAGTCTTTTTGTTGCAAAAGTAGTAATAATTATCTTGACAAATACACAGATTGTATTTCATTATTAGCTTATTCTTACCAGCAGCACAATGCAGAAATCTTCAGCCAGACTTGTAAGCATGTCATTCTTTTCATGTCCTCTGAGGATCAAAATTCCTTTTACCTTTTCAAACCAATTAACCATGTAAAGGAAAAATAAAACTATTTTAATAGCATGAAAAAGGACAATAGTTTTTATTATATGTAGATAAAATTACACAAATTATACAAAGATTAAAACAACAGCAACAACATTTCCAGTCTGCTGAGTGTACTTTAGCCCCAGACAAATTTTTCACTCACGCTAAACAAACTTAGGTGATTTCAAACTAATATAAGTAATTTCTGTAGCTGACTTGCTAACACAAGAACTAGAGATCAGCTACAACTGCCACCACAGAGCAAAGAGCTGAAAACAGACAGAGGCTGAATGAACTGTGTTTGCAGGTGTGAATATAAGCATGAAATTATCACCACATTTTTTATGTTAAAGCAGCTGAGAAGGCAGTTGAGTAACACTCAGCTGACATTGCCGGTGATTTTCACCAGCGAAATCTCTGGTGAAAGCAAGAAGGAAGTGGTGTCTATTTTTCAGTATATGTTGAGTTACAGATAATTAATACATTTAACACGTAGGTTGAAATAACATCATCAGAATAGCACTATAATGTGGTGAAAGAACAGGTACGATACTGCTGTCACGAGTATTAACAAAAAACAATCACTGAATTGCACCAGGAAATTCCAATTCCTGACTCAACAGCAGGACAGCGAGCTCATATAAAAAGATATCATCTTGTCATAATTGGTGTAAGCATATCTAAATTAACTATAGATCACATCATTTGCAAAACCTTCACTGTGCTAGAGCAGCATCACTTTAGAAGTAGCCACTTGTCAAAAAACATTTAACTCTGAATAATGTTCAGAGTTAAATGTTAGAAGTTGTATGAAATTCTTAATTCAGAAACAATCAAATATTAAGCATTATTTAGACATGGTTTATTTATTTTATTTTTTAGAAGTTCAGATATGCTTTATGGTTATACTTATCCTCCCAATGAGACCGTGTTTTATCATTGCTGGGAACCCATCTTCTCCTGCTATGCTGACTTTTTTCCCACATTTCTGAACAGAATTTAGCAAAGTAGAAATGCTTTTGACTTCCTGTTTGTCAAGTTCCTGAAATTGAAATTTTAACATGAGCTTTAGAGTACAGTTTTAGAAGAACCAGTATTTAATTAACCAGATGCCATTTTGTTCTCAAAAGCCAACTTAATTGCAGCTTGAAGTAGAGATTTAATTCTTAAATTTTATTTCAGTTTTCCAAATCAACTGCTGGTATAAACCAAGCCAAATGAAAAAACAAACAAAACAAAACACCTTTTTCAGACTATTACAATGACAGTTTAAGTGATTCTGATGTAACAAGTACATTACCCGACACAGAAGCTTGTCTAATTTGTTGACAAACTGTTTGCTGCATTTGTGAGAGACATTTTCACAGTCTTCTGTTGCCAGAAATTGTTCTAATAATTGGAAATCTTTTTTTCTTGTAGCTTCATCAATTAACTTTTCAAACTATCAACAGTAAAAGAAAACAGAGCAACTGTATGACTGTATGCTTAACACTGATACTTATTTAACAAGATTTAACGTAGATTTTACATATTCTAAACAAATATTCTGAATCATAAAATCACTAAATGTAAAACCTGAAGTACAGAACACCATATCTGTTATGTTAATCATGCAAATACTTATTCATTGAGTTTTTAATTATTTGCCAGTTTTCCTTAATGGATGTTTTTTCTTTCCTCATATTACAAAACACTTAGCACTAACCTATCTCAAAGGAAAATTTTTCCTACCACATTCTTTGCCACACTGCCAATTTCATTTGTAATTAAACACGGGCAAGAGTGCTTTAAGCTAGTAATTAAAACAATCAATAGACCTATTCAGGTCTATAAGGACATACCTGCATCTCATTCCTGGCTGCCATTTTCGCAACTCATCCACTGGGCTGCGGGAGAAAGGAACAATCATCACTGGACCAAGACACAAGTCACTGACATAGCCTTCCAACAGGTTGTGCAAACACATCAGTTACCAGTGAAAACAAATTCCAAAATTTGTCAGTACTGTAAATACTACTTAAGGAATTAAACTAACTGTGGATATAAATAAACATCCTTTCACGGATAAACAATTGCTTAAAATAAACGAGTGGAAGAAGGGTGAACCCTGGCGATGGAGGGCAGAGGGTCCCCCCACAGACTGAGCCACCCCCTGTGCTGCCCGGAGCAGGGACCCCAGCAGCCCGGGGGGCAGCACATCTCCACTGAGACAGATGATGAGGTCATTTAAGAAAAACGTGATAAATGCATGAAGGGAAACAGCCTTCTTAATTACACATGCAGTGATGGCTCAGAGATGACTATTACCACCACAAAGCATGAACTCAGAATCTTTTTTTTGTAAACGTTGCCTTAATACTTGAGAGCAGACAATAGTATTTCCTTTGAGAGTTAACTTGTAAAAAAAACCCACAAACATTTTCATGCTTTGTATAAATTAACCAACCTATCACATGCAGTTTTGGTCTCCTTGTCCCATAAACTACTTAGACAATGCGAAATAACAATTAAAAATAGGGAACGACTTTTGTAGCAAGCAACTGGGAACACACACTAGTCACGTCTGTATCCCCAAATAACACAGAAATAAATACTGGGGGGCGGTGGGGGGGTATTATTTTTCCCAATACAAGAATCCAGCAGCTTACGCTGAAGCCTTTGCTATCACCTCACAGGCCTCCCGTCTCCTGCCTAGTCAGATAGGCCAAAGAAGAAAATATAACCCCCTTCCAGGTGCCTCCTTCTCGACGGGGGACTGAGACCTCCGCCCCCAAAACACAGGGAGCTGCTGGCATTTCCCCCAAGAGCCTTGTTGCCGAGAGGTGCAGGCCCCGCAGTGCCCCCGCCTCCTCAGCAGCGGGGCGGCAGGGAAGCCCCCCACAGCATGGCGGCCCTCACCTCACCGCCGGCAAGAAAAAAGCGCCACTTCCCGCCGGCCAATCACTGCCAGCGCCGGCAGACGGCAGCCAATCACTGCCGGCCAGGGCACCCGGCGGACCAATCGCCGTCGGAGGTGCGGAGCGGGAGGAGGGGTTTCTTCATCGTGAGGTGCTCCCTGCGCACCTGAGACGGCCTCGCCCAGCCGCCGCGGAGGGGGCGGCGCTTTGCCGAGGCGGTGCCGGGGCGGGGGACCGAACCGGACCGGGTCGGGCCTGGCCTGGCCGGACCGGACCTCGGGGCGGGAGGCAGCGGAGGAGCTGCCCCACAGCCGCGGGGTGCGGCTCCGCACGGGCGGCGGGGGCTCCGTGGGGCGCCGGGAACCCCCCTGCGGCCCTGGAATGACCAGCAGCGGCGGAGCGCACAGGTGAAGAGTCGCCTTTCACAGCAGATGAACCTGCGGCAATTGTAAATAAAATAACAACACCGGCTTTCTAAATAGACAGGAAGAAGACAATGCTGTAAAAGGCAAAGAAGCTGTGCAGAAAGTATTTGGAAGGTGGCGGCGGTGCGAGGCGCGGGCAGCCCGCGGTGCGGGGCCTGGGGCGGGCGCGGGGCCTCCGCGCGGTTTTGAGGGGAACCCGGGGACAGGACTTGGCGTCGGGAGCTCGGAGCAGCGGAGCGGAATCTGCCATCAGACAAGGCAGAAGTCACCAAAAGCCAACGGGTGTTTGTGGTTTCCCTGACCGGTCGCGTCATCCCTCACCCGCCAGTGTCAGTGCTGTTTGGTTGCCAAAGGGAGGTCAGCAGAAAGCAGAACTTTAATCAAATTGTGCATTAAACAGTCTGGGACAAACAGTGAAATCATCTGGGCCACAAATGTGGCAGCTCGGCTGAAAAATTCCCGAGGCAATGGAAACCAAACTGTGTTTAGGGCAGCACCACGTGTGGGCAGTAGGACCATCTCTGGCACAGCTGCCCTGGTGTGTCCAACGGAGAAGGGTCAGAAGTGTCGGTGCCAACAGTTTTAATACCAAGTGTCAGCTGAAATAGCTGCAGATCTGAGATCATGAGGAGAAAGCCAAATCAGGAAAGGAGTCAATACTAACATTAGACTTATGTTGACAAATGACTCATCATTTACACGCGCCGTCCTGGTTCTTTCCCAGGCAGTGCTGTACAGTACATACCACATTGTATTGAGCACTGGTGATGCACTAAATTAGGTACCATATGACTGTTAGCATATTACTATTACTACAAATTGTATTTATCTTACAAAGAAAAAAGATTCCAAAGAAACTGAACCTGAAACCCAGCCTACTTTCCTGAGTGTGTTGCTCTGTGACAGCTCAGCACTAAGTTGCGTCATGAATTTTCTTAACTGTTTTTTAAACTGACAGGAGTACTATTGACCAAAACAACATAAAATTGTGAAAAGCTTTTATTAAAATCTTTTGTATTACAATAGCCATAGTTTTATCTTTTTTAATTAATTAAGCCCTTTGCAATTGTACAACTCTCCACTAAAACAAAATGACCTTTTGTCTAGCATATGTGCTTTACTGATATACTGTGTAACGTACTTCATTCTGGACATTTAATCAGGAAAGACAACCCCTTTTCACTGACATGGATTCCATATGTTTCTTTAAAAAACATGCTTGAAAGAACCTTGAAAATGTAGACTACTAGACATTAATTTATTGTATGACTATAACACATACAGGTTTTTAAAAGTGCATTATATGGCAATAACCCTTGTGAAGAATTCACTTTTACAAAATCCTCATTATAAGGGAAGTGCTCCATTTAAACACAGTGCAAGCAGTCAAGTTGTCCTGAGAATGTATAAAGGTGGACACAAGTTTCCGGCAGGTGTGTATGACCACTGCTCAATGGCTTCATCCTGTTTTTGTTAACTAGAATCCTTGATGGTCACTGCTGAATGTGACAGGAAAGTGTAAGTGCAAATGCCATCGTCCTGGCAGCAGGTACCAGTGTGATGTGTGAGGGTTTAACACCTTACCCAGTGATCCCGCGCGGAGCCGTTACAGGGCAGACCTGCTCCGCTCGCAGTCAGCAATGCCAGACACCTCCTCTACTGACAGCTGCCATCAGCTCCTCTGCAGCAGTGCAAGACACACAACGGGAGAAACAGCAAACTTGGAAAAATACTTCAGTATTCAAGATTTTGCACATGGAAATACCCTGAGAGGTTGCAAAGGGAAGACAATACAAGCCAAACTCACCAAGACATTAATTTCCCACCTCTCTGACACCACGGTGTACACATTAACCTTTAGTCAGAGAGTGTTACCTCGTCTGCCCTGCCTGCAGTAACACCCATCTGACATTTGCTACTGCACGAGTCTCTCCCAGAAGACGGCAACAGCCTCTTCCTGCCAATAAGCCAAGTACTGCATCGTAAACTGGTGTCAAATAGTCTCACGAGAGAGGGATTTTTAACAGTGTGCTGAGAGGCAATTCAGTGTTTTTCCTGATGGAAAAAATACAGAAATTTGGGAGGGAGGGAGAAAGAGGGGGGAGCAATACTTTAAAACAGTGCTTTTATGCAGCGTAAGTGCTTCAGTGTGTGTGTGTGTTCTTACTTCAGTGACAAGCACATACAATGCCACTTCTACAGACTTTAACACCACTGGATAAACTTCAGTGGAATTCCTTAGAGAGAGCAAGTTTCACCAAAGTTCAGTTTCAATTCATGCCAGGAAAGATTCTCCTGCAGCCACGGAAGGTGTATTTCTGCTCATCTGACTTGCCATCTACAGACGGGCAGAATTTGGCACAACCCACCCCACTGCTGAGAACTGGGAATGGCACTGCTGGTCCTGCCATGTCCTCCCTGTGCCCAGCAGAGGTGACACAGTTTGTCACAGCCCAGGTGATCTGCTAACTACAGCCAAACCAGCGCCATGGGCTGTGAAGAGCACAGGCTGGGGGGTTCACAGGGGTTATGTCCTATATTGCCCTATGTCATTTAGTCACACGAAGCCCACCATAGGAGGCAAAAACCCTTCCAATCAGGGAGTGCCCCTCCCTACAGAGCTCTTGTTTCTGTGCCACGAGGAAGACTAGACTTCCTCTTCACTGTACTGATTTTTCTAGGAGACAGGAGTTGCCACCAGGCTGGTAAGGGTCACTTCTCTAGCCCAGGTACAGAAAATAGCACAGGTCTGAAAGCAGGCAGCATTTTTCCTCTCTGTAGCAGGCAATCCCACCTCAGCCTCGCCTCCCCCTGCAAAACAACTTCAACTTAAATGTTCAACCTCACAGTGCTCCGATACAAAGTTAAAGCAGACAACACAGTCAGTCCTGAAACTGCGGTTTCAAATAGGACTGAGTTTTCTCAGTGCTCTGCAAGAGATGCTCAGCAGCTCATAGAATTGTCAGGTGTAACTTCAGTTCCTTTGAAAGCCAAAGACAAACGGAACCAGGGCAGCTTCTTCACTCGAAAGCCTAGCTTTGCTGAAGGGCTATCACAACTAAGGAGTAACATTGAGTTGCCAGACACATGAATTTTCATTGGGTTTCTGCACTTCCAGAATTGCTCAGTAGACTTTTTGGACTAATATATAGTTGGCTGTGGGTTGCTTACAACTGTGATTTTAAAAACAACTTGTGATTTTGATGAATAAGCAGCAATGCAAAATAAGATGCCTGAATAAGTGGCCTGGTTTTCATAATACAATCCTTCTAAAAAGCAGCTCTTCTAATACATGTAGCCAGCCAGTTTTGAAAATTTATGCTACAAATTTCTTCATTTATAAATTCACCTGTTTCAGGTAACAGTCCAAGATCGTTAGCATCATATAGAGCTTTGAGATCTTCAAATGTCATTGCAACATTAGCAAAATTGCTCTAGTTTCCCTTAGTAAAAGCAGGTGCCAAGGAACAAACAACTCCTGTACCACCACCTAGAGAAAAAGCCAACTTGTGCATCACCTGAAAAGCTGAGAACTTCACCTGCCTTACACAGCCCCCAGGAACAGTCAGTCCTGCTGCCTACACCAAACACTGGAGATAAGAAAAAGCAACCTTTTTTTTTTTTTTTTAAAGGAAACAGTGGGCCTGATGGGACATTTTCATTTATGCTTTGCTCCTAATAACATTTCATTTCCAACCCAAATATTAATGGAAGTACTTAACACGGTTACAGTCTTAATAATAGAGATATATATATGTAAATACAAGTACTTCCCTACAGTGCCTGCCACCCAAATTATGCATAGATGGAATAGTGCCCAGACTTGGTGAGATAGTTAGAAACAAAACCAGTAAAGCCACATTGCCCATTTAGAAAACAAACAGTACGAAATGGTAAAACAGATCAGTTAGAAATATTCTGTGCAACCTTGAATATTAATAGCAACATGAAGTGTGTTGTTTTGCTCTCTGGTAGCCTGACAGCATCCCTTGGAACCATTCTGCACCGATTCACACACCACAAGAAATCACACGGGCTTTCAGCGGATGTAACTCAATACACGTTTTGGCCTTTTTCACTTTCTGAGAGGTTTAGAACAGTTTGTACGGGCCATTGGCTGTTTCCCTGCCCTGCAACGCTTTGCCAGGTTTGGAAAGGAAGCCTGTTGCCATAGGAGCAGAGAGCCTGGCCAAGGGCCAGAGTGCCACCCGGGCTGCTGACAGCCTGCTGGTCGCTCAGATGAAGTGGATCCAGCTCTCCTCGCACTCCCTGGGCATCTTCAGGGGGTGAGTCCGGCAGGTGAGGCTGTAGTTTTGGCCTCTGTTGTTATCCCAATACTCCCAGCCGTTGACTTGGTACCTTGCTGCAAACTGGACTACAGAGCAGAGCTGCAGGAGGAAGGGAGGCACAGGGAGAAAGAAAGTGAAAACATCAACCTGCCCCTGCCCGTTCTTCTCAGGGATGCTGCTGTGCCAACGAGCACACACTTCATGGAGGCTTTTCCAGTGGTCGAAGGTGTATCGCACAGACACCTGCTTCTCAAAGGCGACGTTGCGAACCTGGATGGTGCCACTGAGCCCCAGATCCGAGCTGGTCACTCGTTCAAGACACACCTGCTGCTCCTGGAGGCGGGAGGAGAAATCCACGCAGTCTGCGGGCTGCTGGAAGTCGGGGACCAAGCACTGCATGGTAAACTCCAAGTCTGAGCTGCTGCACCAGAGGTCTGAGTTGATGGAGAGCCTGGAAAGGACGTGCAAGGGGATTGATGGGTCCTCCCCAGTCTGGAAAACCTTCACTTCAGTGAGCTCCAAGCCCAAAGCATCAGCAAATCTCACCCGGTTCATACGACTCTGGCATCCAGGAACTTGACACGGCGCGGCCGCCCGCTTCCATCTTTCGGGTGATGTGGGCAACGACCTCGCTCGGCGGCGTATGATGGGCCGTAAGGCTGGGTCACAGCTGGAAGAAGTGCTGCTCTGGAGGTTCTTTGGCTGGGGGTCCCCCTTGGCTGGGACACTGCTCCAAAGGGTCGTGCTGCAACCCGTGTGGATGGCTGGGGGCTGCTGCTGCCCTCGTCCCAGTGCTCCTTCAGCCCGTAACATGTTCTGATAGAGATCAGAGAGGTAGCTGGGGTTCCTCCGAGGACCACGCATCTCCATTCTTCACCGATGACAAAAAGTCAGCAGGCAGTAACGAGCACTGCCTCTCTGAAGGACACAACTGGGGAACGGCAGCCAGGGGCAGGATCTGAGGTTATTGCACTGGATGCAGCAAGAAGCAGCTGGAAGAAGGCAGCCTGCTGAAGGACGGGGGGAAACCTGGGAGCTCTGGAAGCGTGCTGTGGGGAGATGAAGGCAGTCTCACTCACTGGCTGGCACCCTCGAAGCCGCTGTGCCGGCTGCTGGACCCGCTGCTCAGGCTGGAAAGGGACTCGAGGCTGTCACCCTGGATGCTGGAAGACCCGAAGCTCTCCCGCAGGCTGGAGACCGACTGGAGGCTGTCGGGCTGGGCGCCGGAGGACTCCAGGCTGTCGGAGAGCTCTCTGGCTGCCCGGGGGCGGCAGGCTCGGCCCTTGCAGGTGGCGAGGGGGGGCTGCAGGCTGTCCTCGCAGACGCCCCCCGACGCCACGCTCCCGCTCCAGCAGCAGGGACACTCCAGGCTGTCACACTGGATGCTGGGCGACTCGCGAGGGCTGCCGAGCCCGGGGAAGGCCTGGAGGCTGTCGGGCTGGAGGGAGCCGGAGCCGAGGCCGGGGCTGCTGCAGAGGCTGGAGGGCGGCCGGGGGCCGTCGGGCGGGGCGGCGGCAGGCTCGGCCCCGCAGCCGGAGGGGGAGGCACCCGCCCCTGGGGACTCCCCGGCCCTCATCTGCCGCACGCTCCGGTC